ATTTTAGCCCACCAAAATTAATTGGAGGGTGTTTTTCTCTTTGGTCTATATCCTGTAAAAAGATTGAAATTCCCTTTCCTTCTTATGGAACTTGTCTGGTACTTTTCTAATGTGGGAAAATAATTCACTGATTCAGTTTCTTTAATGGTTATATAACTATCTAGCTTTTCAAATTTTTTCTTGATTTCATTTTGAAGGTATTTTTTCTAAGAGTGCTATTTTATTTTTTTCAAGTTTACTACCATAAGTGAATCATAACATAATAATACTACATTGCCATTTCTTTTGCATCTGAAGTAACACTGCATTTTCATTATGATATTGCTTATTTGTTTTTTTTTGTCAGGATCAAACCTTGGTAGAAGCATTCAAAGAACAATGCTTGGCATTTTTATTCTCTTTATTGCAAATACATTTATTGCAAATGCAAATACATTTACTTCTTATTTATTAATTTTTACTCTTGCCTTTATTATTTCTACTTTTGTTGTATCTGTTTGATGATCTTTTCCTAACTTCTTATGTTGAGTGCTTAGTTCATGAATTTTCAGTCTTTCCTCTTTTTTCATGTATGCTATAAATATCTAAGTGCTATAATACCTAGGTTCAATATATTTTAAAAGTTTATGTTTTCATTATTTTTCATTTTATTTTATAACTTCTATTATGTTCCCTTTTTACTCATGAATTATTTAGATGCATATTTAGATGCATAAGCAGTTTTAGCAAGGTTGCAGGATACAAGGTTAATAATACAAAGGCCAGTCGTTTTCCTGTATGCCAACAGTGAACACATGGAATTTGGGGGGAAAATGCTATTTAGATGAGCATGCAAAAAAAGATAAAACATTTAGGTACAAAGGTAACAAAATATGTACAATATATATATATGAGGAAAACTATAAAACTGTGGTGAAAGAAATCAAAGAACTAAATAAATGGAGAGATAGTTCATGTTCACAGATAAGAAGACTCAATGTTATCAAGAGAGTTTTCCCCAACTTGATCTATAGATTCAATGCAATCACAGTAAAAATCCCAGCAAGTTATTTTGTGGATGTCAACAAACCTATTTTAAAGTTTATATGGAGAGGCAAAGTACCCAGAATAGCCAGCACAATATTGAAAGAGAAGAACAGAGTTGGAGGACTGGCACTATCCAACCTCAAGACTTACTATAAAGCTACAGTAATTAAGACAGTGTGGTACTGGTGAAAGAATAGACAAATAGATCAGAGGAACAAAATAAAAAGCCCAGAAGTATTCCCATACAAATATAGTTATCTAACCTTTGACAAAGGTACAAAGGCAATTCAATGGAGGGTAGTCTTTTGCCAACAAATAGTTCTGGTGTAAGTGTACATCAACATGCAAACACACGCACAACCTAGATACAGACCTTATACCTTTCACAAAAAATTATTCAAAATGGATCATAGATCTCTTTGTAAAATACAAACCTATAAAACTCCTAGCAGATAACATAAGAGAAAACCTGGATGACCTTGGGTATGGTGATGACTTTTTAGATATAGCACCAAAGGCACAACCGATGAAAGGGATAATCGATGAGCTGTTTCATTAGAATTAAAAGTTTTATCGCTTCTTGGCCTTTTGGATAAGATCAAGTATAAAATTAAAAGGTTTTGCTCTGTGAAAGACACTGTCAAGAGAATGAGAACACTGGCCACTTTCAGAGGGAAAATATTTGCAAAAGACATACCTAATAAAAGACTGTTATTTAAAACATGCAAACAGCTGTTAAAACTCAACACTAGGAAAACAACCTGATTAAAATATGGGCAAAAAACCTTAGCAGGCACCTCACCAAAGATATACAGCATATGAAAAGATGTTCAACACCAAATGCTGACCACACCAATGATGACAACATTAAGTGCTGGTGAGGATGTGGACCAACAGGAACTCTGATCCGTCGCTGGTGAGAATGCAGGCTGCTACAGCTTCTTTGGAAGACAGTATGGCAGTTTCTTACAAAACTAAATATACTTTTAGCATTTGATTCAACAATCATGTTCCTTGATATTTACTCAAATGAATTGAAAACATGTCTACATAGAATCCTACACACAGATTTTTTGTTTATGGAAGCTTTGTTCATAATTGCCAAAATTTGGAAGCACCCAAAATATCCTTCAGTAGGTAAATGGATAAACTGTGGTACATCAGGCAATGGAATATTACTCGTTGCCAAAAAGAAATGAGCCATCAAGCCATGAAAAGACCTTAAGTGCATATTACTAAATGAAAGGAGACAATCTGAAAAGGTTACATACTTTATGATTCCAACTACATGAAGTTCTAGAAAAGGCAAAACGATAGAAATAGGAAAAAGAAAAGTGGTTGCTAGCGATCGGGGAGAGAAGGGATGAATAGGTTTTTAGGGCAGTGAAACTATTATGCATGATAGTATAATGGTTGATTCATTTGTTAAAACCCATAAATATACAACCAGGGTGAACCCTAATTTAACTGTGGACTTTGGTGATAACGATGTGTCAGTGTCGGTTCATTGATTGTAACAAATGTTCCTTTCTGGTGCAGGATGGTGATAGTGGGGAAGGTGTGCGTGTGTGAGGGAAGTGGGAATATGGAAACTCTCTGTACTTTTTGCTCTATTTTATAGTGAAAATCAAACTGCCCAAAATATAAAGTCTTAAAAATGAGCTTATTTCTCCCATAAGTTTGAAAGATAATTTTACTAGGAATAGCTGTAGGCTGAAAGCTGTAACACTTTGGTTATTCCCACTATTGCTGCTGAAAAATCAGCTCTCAGTTTGGTAGCCCGTCAGTGGTTAATGTCTCTTTTCTTTCCTGGCCTTTTTTCTTTCTTTTGGCATTCTACCATTTCAACATGTTGTGGCTAGGCATCCATTTCTTCATTCCTGTTTTGGAATTCTTTAAGTTTCAGGTATCAGAGAATTTGTTCTTTCATTCAGTCTGGAAATTTGTAAGCTGCTATCTCTCTGAACAATTTCTTTTCCCTTTCTATTTTTCCCTTTAACTCCAAATGGAAGTATGTGAGACTCTTACTCTTCCCAAAATAAGCTTCTTAGAGTTACTTCATCTTTGTCAAAAGCCATAGAAAATATGTCCTGTGTAGGAGTTTCTGGACTTGCCCTTATTTATAATTCACCTGAACCATGACCTTCCAGAATTGTCCTCTGTTGTGAAAAGCCATTTGCTTAGAGATAGAGAAAATACAGTAACACAAAATTATGCTTTCCATTGGTGGGATTCATGGTAACCTGATTTTTGGCAATACGGCTGCCAAGTTTTCAGTTATGGAGACTATTATTGAAACATGAGGTGATCCTGTCTTGTGGGTCATGGAAAATGATAGAGCTGTTTCATGCTGGAAAAGGAGTGGGTAGTGTCACCAATCAATGCCATCTGCAGACTGTGTATATAGTTACCGGAAATTTGGAAATTTGGAACATAACAAATTGATGAGGAGTTTCTAGGGCATAATTTAAAGCTAATTTTTCAAAGTAATTTACAACTCGTTTTTATCAATTGGTTTCAAAAGGCCTCCTTTTCACCCATTAATAGAAAGATAAGACACCTAATCAGCTCCTCATAGGCTACTATGAAGTCGTAAACAATAGGGAAATGGATAAGCTAATTAACAGCTAAGGACAGTCTCCATCTGGAAATATTTGAAAGATAGCTTGCCAGAACAAATATTCAGATGCCTCTGCTTCAATACATTTCTCAGCATTTGGAAGGAACATATTCTGAATAAGAACCTGTAGGTAAACACCTGTTAATAGCATTCAGTATGGCCATAACCACTTTTGCCAGATCACCATCTAAAATTATTGAGACCTGTTATTGTCAGGGATCTCAGTTTTGCCCAGAACTTGCAATGGCAAGAAACATGAACAAGCTATGAGCTCTTTGTATATTACAATAACAGTAGCCCAGTTCAATCAGTTGCTTTTGCCTTAGTAATCTTAAACAAGAAAAAGTAAGCAGCAATTTTAAGCTGGCTGGACAGGATGGGGGGAGAATAAGGTTTCCCTTTGTTTAGATGGAACAGCTTGGAGATAAAAAAAAAAAAAATCCAAGAGTAAACACAGAATACCATTGCAACTGATACTTACATAGCATGGTTCCAATTCTCAGCACTTGCATTGGTCATGAAGATCAAAAATAATTTCAAGGGCCACCTTGGAAAACAAGAAGTAACTAAAACTCACACAGTTTAGTACAACACTGATTGAAAACTTGTATGCTGCAGGCGCTGGCTGTGCTAGTCATTAGGACACAAAGAAGAAAAAGACACGGCTCCACCCTTATAGAAATGAATGCCTTCATATAAGTAAATTTAAGACATGCTATTCTCGATTCCCTGCCACATTGTGACTTGACTGCACTTTGGCGTGTGAGCCAGGTTCACCACACCCTGATAAAAAAGATGAGGCTGACACTTGATTATGACACACAGGAAGCTCCATTGTGAGGCTCTGGCACTTGAGAGGTGTGCCTCAGATGAATTCTCTGAGGACGAGGTGAGGAAGCTGGAAATGCTTTTTTCAGGGAAATTGTGTTGATGAGGCAGCCATCAGTCATTAATCTACAAGAAACAAAGAGTCTTTGATTCTAGTGTAAGCCTCGGGGCCATCCTTGTTAGTGCTTCTGCAACTTAGTTTGCCCCAGACTATCAGAGTTCATTGTCTCTCTCTCCTCACTATCAGCAAGCCGAGGCAGAACTCCTGAGATCAGGATACTTGCCCAGAGAAGTATATAGCTTTTGTTTTTTCCACTGAGAGGAATGACAAAGCAATATGCTTCATGTTGTCCCATAAAAGCAGAACTTTTTTCAAAAATTAGAATTAGTTTCAAAAACAGAACTTCTAAGATGGGAGTAAAGAACTGACTAATTAGTATTCCAATTAAATGAAATTGTAAGTACCTTCTTATTCATAAAATCTTTTCTTCCCATTTCCTGGCTTTAAAAGATTTTTTTTTTTCAGGTTGATATCCACCTGATTAATGGAGAACATATTGAAACCTTCCACGAAGATCTCACTTTTACACTGGACACATCGGCTTCACCAAATTTACCCAAGATAGATGATGACCTAAAAGGTATGTTCATATACTCTATCTAGTATGTTCTACCAAAGTAGTTATTCTTTCTATTTTTCATTACTTCTTTCTTCCAGTGTATTTTTAGTATCTGTAAAGATGATGTGGCAGTGTGTAGGACACTTTGGCAGGGTGCACTAGTGTCATTTACCTGAGGCCAGGGCATGGCCACACCTGAGTAGGCAGACATATCAGCTGAGCGTTTTGTCCATGATACTGAATAGACTTGAGATTTATGGAGGAAAATGATGACCCTCCAATTCAATTGGTCTCTCATCTCTTTGTTGAAGAGAGAATCCAAACAAATGTAATGGTTGCATAAATCAAGGATCGCTCTGAACAAGTGGAAGGCTGGTTTTTAGAGTGGATTCAGAGAGACACACTGTCAGAAGAGTGATTTATCCAGTAACATTCTAGTGAAGGCAGGATAGGTACACCAAAGGCAATCATTGTTATGGAAAATAGTCATGAAGGGAACATTTGAATCAGAAAAAAAGGGCTTTGGAAAGTTCTCAGCCTTTTTTGAGATTACACATCAGGAAACGAAAAGAAATCCATAGATCTGCTCTGACTTGTCTATCTTTGTATGTTTGGATTAGCTTCCAACATTTTATCCTTTGGACTCTCCATTGGGAAATATCTTCAAGAATTCCTTATGTAAAGGTTTTCTTTTAGGCATCATTTCCTCAGGGACATCTTCATCCTTTTAATCACAGTCTCTTTATGCTGATAAATTGCCTTCACTAATTTCTTCTAGAGTTGGCTTATCTATAGTATTTCAACAGTGTTAGCATTCCTACTGTGGGCCCTTTCTTCTGTAATTCCAGGTATAATTTTACTTCCCCTATTTAACCACTTGTTGTTTCTTTGCTACACTTTTTTCTTGGCTAATTCTCTTTCTACAATCCATTTTTATAAAATGTCATGTGGGTTTATCACTGGGAGACCAAGGAGGCAACACAACTGCACACTTTGCTATGTGTGGGTGAACTGAATAATAATCGTGCAATTACATGTAGTTCATATATCATGGTAATGTTACCAGAAAGGGGACCTGGCCCTGAGGGGTCTGCCTAGGGCCAGCCAGTAGTGTGTGGGTTCTTGACTTCTTTCAGGTCTAGGTGATTTATTAAAGCTGGGACAGTGAAACAAGGAAGGGCCTAGGATAGAAGAAGCAACAGGAGAGGGACTAGGTAGGGAAATGAGCCTAGGCAGGACTGCTTTGGCTCACTAAGAAGTCAGAGAAAAGGGAGCCTTGGGGACAGGTTCAGGGAGTTAGCCCAGGACGAACTGCTGCTGCCCATTGCTGCCCTGGTTGCCAGTCCTGTGGAGTCCCTGGAGTTTAGGAGACGCAGGCCCTGAGAGGGGAAAGGGAAAGGGTCTTTCCTCTAGGAAGTTTTTAAAGGCTGGGAGTCTAGGGAAGGTCTTAGGGGAGGATCTCAGTAGAATATTCATCAGCTTTATACTAATGTGCCAAAATAAGATTTATTCCCTTCTTGAGTATGGTTGGCAAATGGCACTAACTGGATTTCTGCTGTCTCCCAGAGTTGGGTGATTTAAGCTATTTACTCTCCACTGGGGAAAGTATAAATCATTTACTCTTTAGTGTTCTTGGTTACAGAAGATAGGATTTTGTGATTTACTAGATAGCTGTAAACTGGTTGGCCATTTAACTGTCTGTCTCAGTTTCCCTATTCTGCCTGTCCTGGCTTACTAGCCTATCTCATTAGGACTGCCTATATATTCAATGGGTTTACACTGTAATTGTCCATGTTTTTCTTGGCCTAATTTTAATTACTGTATGCTTATGAAATTAGCTTTGAAGATATTCTACAAATGAGGATTTATTCCCACTTATTTGAAATGGTTTCCTTACTAATTCATTTTTAGGAGTCTTACTGGTTTCGCATATTCTTTACCTTGATCTTGGTGAACTGGTAATTGTTTCATGGTCCTCTGCATTGAATTAAATGCTGTTCAATCTTAGTATCTATAAAGTTTTAATCTTCCACAAAGATGAGGTGTGGATTTAGAATCTAAAAGAAGAATTATTATTCCTACAAAATCCTCATACAGAGAAAAAATCTGAAATGTTCTGCTTCCCATTTGTTCAATAATACTGTAGATCTTTAACTTTCTAGTGATTATGCAGTTACACCTATTTATAGTGGTATGAAGATCTCAGTTGACATTGTCACCTACTCATTTTATTTTGGTTTTACATAAAAGTTGTAATTTTTAAGCAGACCATATATCTCTGCCTCATAAATGTTTAGTGTTCTTAGAACTCTAAAGAAACATATATCTGACCTAGAGTGCTGAGCCGTCCCAAAAGGGATGGTCTAATTGTGATCAATTAAGCTGCTTTATGTAACTTCCCAGTTAGAACAACCACATTCCATATGACCATCTTTCAGTTTCCTTGTATATCTGCAATTGTCTTCCATTGGTAGATCTACCAAGTGGCTCACTGACATATCGCTTAGAAGATCTGGCCTATACAAGAAGTGGGGACAAAGGCAACTCTGCAAATATAGGTACGTTTTTGCTTATAAAAACCATTTTTCACATGTCTAGAATTGATTTCAGTCACTTAGTAAGTTTTCATTTGGATTCAAACAATGGAAGTTTTTGTTTACTGTGTTGGTTAAGGTATATTAAGTTGTCCAATGCTATCTAGCTATTTTCTTACTGACATAACAAAAATGTGTACTTCAGATAAACTGTGCCTCTCAAAAAAAAATTTTTGCAAAAAGATAAATAATTTAAACATACTTGGGGCCAGAAAATCCACTCCTGTATCATAGTATTATAATGCACTTATTGTATGAATTAGCCTGTTGATAAGAGCTCCCTTTTAGTCGTCTTTTCCCTAATTTCTCTAAATAGTATAATACTTTATTATCACCATATTTCTATTTTTCCTTATTAATATATCTCTTCACCTCTTAAAACTCTTTTCTCCTTTTTCTCTCCAGAAATTGCCAGATCCTTTTCTTTTCTCCTTAGAATAACTTCCCTGGTTCTTTTTCCTTTGTAAGCTCTTGGAATGCCATTTATTCGTCTCTTTACTGAAATCCCAGGAATAACCAGACTATCATTTAATAAATGCCTTTAAGTGGACTGTAAATGTCTTTGTTCTTTAGTAAAAACAACATATATGTATAACCAGAGTAGACCTAAATCTCCATTGTCTAGGGAGTTTGCAAACTAAGGAATACAGGTGAACAGATACTTATTACGGTGTCAGTATCTGAAATCTTACAATGACTCTGTTGACACTGTTCCTGGAAGGCCAGCTGCATTATGGCCACAGGCGGTTGGCGTACTTTATTTTCACCATTTACCTGTTGTACTTACTTGAGCTGTTTGAGCTGAGATAACTAAGAAAAATGGATTAGCCAACCTTTTATTCCTGAACATTCTCTAATCAGTGATTTTCAACCTTTTTCATCTCATGACACATAACTCGTTACTAAAATTCTGCAGCACACCAGAAAATATATTTTTTGCCAATCTGACAAAAAAATTAGTATAATTTTGATTAATTTACAAAAAATAATAATAGTAGTAATTACCTACCTATTTTGCTCCCAAGTGACTTTTTAAAAAACCGGGTGCCTATACTCATATATAAGGATTTCTGGTATCAAGTATTAGCCAATCAGATGCATCCTTATTATTCAACAAACCAATAAAATGCAACTCTGTTACATAACCTATATATTTATGGTTCAAAACTGGACATTCACGCCAGAGGGCTACTGTTGTGTTGGCTGTTGTCATTTTTTGACAGTCTAAGGGAAAAGAGGTCAGTGTCCCTGACTAAATAGTCAGATATTGCGTATTTTAAAAACTCGCGCAGCACAGTGTGCCATGGCACACCGGTGAACAGAGCAGTGAGCGTGATTGTCAATGTCTTTGACTTCTGAAACTTACAGTCTTTTGAAGTTAATATTCTCACATTTATTGTTTGATTTTGCATCAATCTTCCATCCTCTCGTCTCAAGTTGCAGCTGTTTGTCATATGCTTAGTTTTAAAAATGGAGGGAATGAGAGTAAATTTTCTTAGAATTTCATAATACCCTTTGACATAATTAAGAGTTGCCAGACAAAGTAAGGAATGCCTTGTTAAATTTGAATTTCAGTTAAAGAATAATTTTTGGTGTAAGCATGTCCCATGTCCTAAGTTAGACATATCTAAACCTGGCAACCCTAAATTAGAGAAACTCGGTACTTGCCAGAGAAGGGAGAATGACATTTACCACTGAGAGATTCACTTTGATGGCAACAGTTCGTCCACTGTATCTCTTCAAATCCCCTTTCCCCTTCTGCGTCCTATACGCAAGGTCCTCAGCGAATCAGATTAAGAAACTTGGAATTAGTGAGTCATTTTGATCAATCGTCAGCGTATTTGCTTAGTAATGCGATGTTTTGTATACAATAGGCATCATAGCACGGCACCCACTCTACTACCCCTACTTAAAAAAATTTCTTACTGCACAAGCCGTAGAAGATTATTTCCAACATATTCTGCATAAAGAACAACCTGAAGAAAATTCAGTGATAAGGTACGGTTCAACTTCAGTGGCTGAATTACCACATTTGTATTTGGAGCTTATAATAGTCGAGCATGTTGATTTTGAATTAGGCGATTAATAGCTTTTATTTTTATTCTGGGACTTTTTTCTTTTGCCCCATTGATGGGAGATACAGAAAGCAGTAGACATGAATGCTGTCCTTCAAAATGAACTGGTGGACTTGCTGAATTGACACTCTTTAAACACTAAAGTGACAAAATTTGGAGCATCTAGAAGTCAATATAATACCCTCTACCATGTACTAAATTGGATGGTCCGAACACCAAACCTAGGAGATGGGAGAGAACTGTGTGTGACATGGACTGGGAAAAAGTTGGAGAGAAATAGTATATTGGCCCTTTAGGTGTTGCCTCAGTATGGGAATCTTAATATAGTTGAATCATATGCCAGAGAAAATTTATTAATAAAATATAAGTCTCTTTTGGTTGCTTTCTGTAAGTGAAATGTAAATATAGTCTAATTTTCTTAAAATTAAAGTTTTTAAAGAGTATATGCAATATACTCAAAATATGGGATAATATATACATTTAAAAATGAAATTATATATGTATTGTTTGATATGATTATGTTATATACCTTTAAAGATTATTTTCAATTAAAAACAAATTATACAATTTTTCTTTTAATCAGATTACTATTTCATTGTTTTTAACTTTCATTTATTTTTTGATAGCTGACTTTTAGAAATTCATATATCTTAACAATTTAATCTAAGACCAGAGGACTGAAATAATTAGATGAATTTATTTACCATCCAAAATGAACAATCAGAACATTCAAAGCTAAAGGTGGTATGATAGATGTTACAACTTTGTTTTTGGTTTTTTTTTAGAAACTTTATGTAATCTCTTAGTGTTTTATTTGTTGGAACATAATAACTCCAGACCTCCGCTTCATGCATAGATGCTGCTACTTCTATATAAATAATTTTTTCTGTATTCTTTGATGTTGGAATATGGTCTTAAGCACGTGCTGAAAACACATTGCAAGTTTTCTCTGTTTTAGCTCATTAGTGTTTTATGCCTGACTAAAAGCAACAGTGAGGTTCTGCATTATTTTTGATACCCTTTGCCTCAAAATAAAGCCACTGGATGCTTTTCACACCACAGGTGAATCTTTTGAAATGCCTTGACTTATTTTAGATGTTTGGAAATGTCAAAAACTTCCTGGAAACAAATGAAAATGAACACGCAACAACCCAAAACCTATGAGACACAGCTAATGCAGTCCTAAGAGGGAAGTTTATAGCACTATAGGCCTACCTCAAAAAGCAAGAACATTTTTTAGCAAACTATCTAACCCTACAACTTAAAAATTTAGAAAGCTCCCCTGTGAAGCCATCCAGACCAGGGCTTTTGTTTGCTGGGAGTTTTTTTTACTGCTGTTTCAATTTCATCAGTTGTTACTAGCCTATTCGGATTTTCTGATTCTTCCTGATTCAGTTTTACCTGATCTCACTCATANCATCAGTTGCTATTAGCCTATTCGGGTTTTCTGATTCTTCCTGATTCAGTTTTACCTGATCTCACTCATATGTGGAATCTAATAAACAAAATAGACTGAAGAACAAAATAGATCCAGAGACATAGATGCATAGAACAGACTGATGAATCTCAGTGTGGAGGCAAGGGTGGGGGAGTGGGTGGGGAGAGATTAATCAAAGAACTTATATGTATATATGCATAATCCATGGATGCAGACAATAGTGTGGTGAAGGCCTGAGGGGTGGCAGATGTGGGGTGGAGGGGACCAATGGGGGAAAAAAAGGAGGGATATTACTAATAATTTCAACAATAAAGATAAATTGGGGGGAAAAAAGCTATTGGAATGGAAAGTGCTGTTGTACTTTGATAAAGGAGATTAGAAGGCAGGGCACTGCAGTTAGGTTTATGCAAGAGTTTGTGAAAGACAGGCGAGGACCAATACCAAAGAGATCATTATCAGTGTTTTGAGTGGGCGGAGTGTTTAAAATTGGCTGAGGCTGCAACCGAAGAATCACTGGAGCAAGGCTTAATTGAAGGGCTATGATCCAGCAGACTAGGGTCAAAGTAGGGTGAAGCTATTGGCAGGTTGAAGCCCATTGGCTTAGTCATACAGGACAGACTTAGGTAAGGCTGAGGTCATGATCAGATGACTTAGTAAAGCATATTAAGAATGTCTTAAGGAACATAAGATACCCAGATTGGCAGAAGCTCAGGTCTGGCTCTGAGGGAGTACTAAGAATCAGTTCCTATAAGTTTCTTTTAATAAGAGGCTATGTTTAACTTAGACCTTTTTATTTTTTAATCCTCACTTGAGGATATGTTTTTATTGATTTTAGAGAGAAGAAGAGAGAGAGAGAGGGAAACATTGATATGAAAGAGAAACATGGATCAGTTGTCTCCCACAGGTACCCTGACTGGAGATTGAACCTAGGTATGTGCCCTGACCAGGAATCGAACCCACAACCTTTTGATTTATGGGACGATACTCCAACTAACTGAGCCACCTGGCCAAGGCTAACTTAGACCTTTTCTCTGTCTAGGCAGATACACAAGTCTTTCATAAATGGCTCTGCCACTATGTCAGTACCTCTAAGGCTGTGTTTACTGAGGCAAATCATCAGCTGCATTTTCGAACTACCAAAACTATGTTTGTGTGGGATAGCCCTGCTCTGCTTGGAGTCCTCAGCAGGGGCTCTCTTTGAGGCTAAGTCCTCTGATTTACTTTAGTCTCCTTCTAGAATTTCTACTCTGTTCCCTCCCTACCCCCATATCCTGGGCAAAGGGCCAAGCTTATAAAACCAGGCTTTGGATCAGGGTTTAGACATACATAACCTATAAAAATGTCAGATTTGGCAATAAATAATCTGCTGTGCAACTGTATTTGGCTCTAAAATGCTATGTGCTTATTAGCAATTGCTCTTACTGGAAACATCTCTTTTGAGATAGGTTGGGGATGATATAAATTTCTCAACCAGTGGGGGAAATCTAGGAACATTTCTTTTACTATCTCCTTATTAAATCTTTTAAAACTACTAAACTCTGATCTTAGGTTCCTGAATGCTCCTGGGGAGGATTATATATTAGTGCAGGAAGGATCATATATTAGTGCGATGTGGTTCTACTGTAATGTTAACCTGTCTAATGTCAGCTAAGTGATTCTTAACCCTGGGCTTTTGGAAATGAGTGGGTGTTTTCCAGTTATTACAGTGACTGACAGGGAGGAGCACGGATACTGAGTGGACAGGAGCCAGTGATGCCAAACAATGCACAGGACAGTCCTGCAAAACCAAGAATTACCCTGCACAAAATGCCCATAGCACTCCCATGATTGGCAATACTTGTAGTCATCTCCACGTGACTCCTAGATGCATTAACAGTTCCAACACTTTTTTGCTATTCTCAAAACCACTCATAACTTCATATTTTTGTTTTCTCAGGCTCTTCATATCATTCAAGAAAACTTACTTAAATTTGCTCCCTTTTCCCCTTGCAGTTTCCTGTCTGTACCCACCATGTTCTCCTTCCTCCCCTCTCAGAGAAAGACATCATTCACCTCCTTTCCAAGGAGAACAACAGCTCCACCCAAGGCTTTGGTCCCATCCCACCCCATCCCATCCCACCCCAGCTCTTCCTCTTATATGTTTAAACCCTTGCCAGTCCAGCCCTGCCTGGTGTGTCTTAGTTGGTTGGGCATTGTCCTGTGCACCGAAAGGTTGCCATTTCAATTCCCAGTCAAGGCACATGCCCAGGTTGCGGGCTCGATCCCCATTAGAGGGCATGCAGGAGCCTGTCAGTGTTTTATCTCTCCCTCTCCCATCTTCTCTCTCTAAAAATCAATAAACGAATCTTTAAAAAACAAAATAATACAACCTGCTGTTCTTCCCATCAGTTTTTTCACAACCAAATGCACGCATCCTAACAAATCCTAGCACAAATGATGCTTCCCCTGTGAACCCTCTTTAATCCTAATTTTTACTCTTTAATCACCTTCTTCTTTGCTTTGAAATGCATCTCTCTATCTCGTATTAAAGTTGTATCGACTTTCTGGCACTATGGGCTCCTCGAAGCATACTGAGTATGTTTTGTTCATCCTCTATCCTGTCCTTACATTCTTTCCTTCTGGGCACAAAGCACTGAAGGTAAGCCATAGTGGATGCTTAATAAATATTTCTGACTCTTGGATCACTTTTTCATAGAGTTTTTGTATCAATTTGTAAGCTAGTATTCAGTAGTGAAAATATCTTTTTTAATAAAAAATATCTTTAGTGAAAGAAATCATTAAATGTAACTAATTTTTTGAGAGAGTTTTTTGGGTGAGGCATTTAAAATAGTTTGGATTATTAAATTGTGTTATTTTAGGTCCATTTTCTTTTACTGGTAATAGAATAAATTTTGAGAACGGAAAGTAAAGCTTTTGCAGGAAAGATTAGAAAATTTTATTTTATTATTATTTTTTTAAATTTATCTTTATTGTTGAAAGTATTACAGATATCTCCCTCTTTTTTCCTCATTGATCCCCTCCACCTGGCATCTACGCCCCTCCTCCTCAAGCCGTCACCACACTATTGTCTGTGTCCCTGGGTTATGCATATAAGTTCTTTGATTAATCTCTCCCCACCCACTCCTCCACCCCGCCTTCCCACTGAGATTCATCAGTCTGTTCCATGCTTCTATGTCTCTGGATCTATTTTGTTCCTCAGTCTATTTTGTTTATTAGATTCCACATATGAGTGAGATCATGTAAAACTGAATCAGGAAGAATCAGAAAACCTGAATAGGCTAATAACAACTGATGAGATCGAAGCAGTAGTAAAAAATACCCCCAGCAAACAAAAGCCCTGGTCTGGATGGCTTCACAGGGGGAGCTTTCTAATTTTTTAAGTTGTAGGTTTAACTGGTGTGCTAAAAATTTTTCTTGTTTTTTGAGGTAGGCCTGCAGTGCTAAGAACTTCCCTCTTAAGACAGCTTTAGCTGTGTCCCATAGAT